AATCTCTCACACTGGCCCCGGGCCATCGGGCAGTCCTTATTGTTGAGCCTGATATGTAAACAACAACATTGTTATATGCTATGTAGTAGCTTATACTTTACAAAGTCAACACATTAGCCTTAATGTTCAATGTCTTTCTTCACACGCAGCACACATGAACCATGAGTGAGGAGGAGGAAATAAGTCATAATCATAAGACATAATCTTTAATCTAATGACTTCTATGTAAAAATGTTGAGGTTTTGTGATATAATATTAAGCATTAATTTAATGCATATTTTCCGTGGAGCGATCAATTTTATAGTCTGATGTTTTTTTTTTTTTGTCAAATAAAAACATGACTGGATAAAACAGCAAATGCTGGTTAAAAGGATTCAGTCAGTGTTTTCATTTTGTAATGTAAATTTTTAATTTAGGTGGAAAATATTTAGGGCAGGCCTATTTATTTTATTCTTTTTATGTATTCTGTTTTGCTATGCTGTTGGGAACACTGCATGTGCATGATTGCTGTTATGTTCTGTGTCGGCTGTTCACATGTTAAAATAAATTAGTATTTAAAAATGCAGTATTTAATGTGTTACACAAAATACACATCAATTTTTTTTTTTAATTAAATATTTTATATTAATCTGACCTTATGATTACCAACTTCCTATTTTTTTAAAAAAAAGTCTTAATTTGTGTTAAACAGAAAAAAGAAAATCAAGTTTAGGACCACTTGTGAATTTTTCTTTTTCTTTTTTTGTGTGTGTAAATTTTCATATTTGGGCTTGATCAATCACTTTAATTTCTATCTGTGCAGTCTGGTTCATGTTCAAGTTTGCTCCATATTAATGCTAGAAGTTGTACATTTACAGTGTGATATTTACGAGTACCATTTACCATACACAAACAATTCATATAATATATATATATATATATATATATATATATATATATATATATATATATATATATATATATATATATATATATATATATATATATATATATATATATATATATATATATATATATATATATATATATATATATATATATATATATATATATAT